TTTGAGATAGAGTCTTGCTCTGTCACCCAGGCTGGAGGGCATGGCACTATCTTGGCTTACTGCAACCTCCAACTCCCAGGTTCAAGCAGTTCTCCTGCCTCAGCCTCCCCAGTAGCTGGGATTACAGGCATGCACTACCAAGCCTGGCTAATTTTTGTATTTTTAGTAGAGACAGGGTTTCACCATGTTGGCCAGGCTGGTCTCGAACTCCTGGCCTCAAGTGATCCACCGCCTCAGGCATCCAAAGTGCTGGGATTAAAGGCGTGAGCCACTATGCCTAGATGTACATTCTTAAACATTTTTGAAGTTAGAGGAAAAAAGAAATAATCGAACCCACTGGCTTTCTGTTGAATATGTTTTTTTATATGTCATTTTAATCATAACTGCAGTTTTGGATGCATAGGATTTGAAAAGGCAGAGAGGAAAGGGGCTAGAGGGAACTTATTCTAAGTAAGTTGAACAGAGCTAGGAAAACATTACAGGTGTGAAAGCTCAAGATGCTTTCAGAGGACATCAAGACTTTGGTATAACTGGCCAGGCATGGTGGCTCACGCCTATAATCCCAGCACTTTGGGAGGCCGAGGCAGGTGCATCACTTGAGGTGAGGAGTTTGAGGCCAGCCTGGCCAACATGGTGAAACCCTGTCTCTACTAAAAACACAAAAAAATTAGACAGGCATGGTGGCACACGCCTGTAGTCCCAGCTACTCGGGAGGCTGAGGCAGAAAAATCACTGGAACTTCGGAGGCAGAGGTTGCAGTGAGCTGAGATCGCACCATTGCACTCCAGCCTGGGTGACAGAGCAAGACTCCATCTCAAAAAACAAACAAACAAATGAAAAATACTATTAAAAATACAGATGAGAATTTGAACAATTCACAGATAAAAATCGCTGCCCCAATAGTAAAACAGAAAAAAAGTGACATAATACTCAAGGTGATTTACATACCTCAAAAAAAAATTGGAGCTATAAAAAGTAAAGAAATTAAATAGTAGTTGATTGACTTCAGGAAAGAAATAGAAGAAAAAGGTAATGAAGACTAAATTACAAGGCACCCAAGGAAAAACAGATTCAAATGAAAATTTACTAGGGGCACTAAAGAAAAGCAGGCAAAGAAGACCTAATTTACAAGTAATTGGAGTTTGTAAAATGATAAACAAAACAACAGAACTAATATTAAAAATATAATCCATGAAAACTTTTTGGAAATAAAAGATCTGAATGTACATATTGAAAAGGTCCACTCAGAATCAGGGAAATTACACCCAAAGACCAATTTTGAAACACACAGAAAAAAATCACCAAGGCCTCCAGGAAAAAATATGAAATAACTTATAAGGCAAGAGAATTAGACTGACCTCAATCCTCTCAAAAACAACATATACAGCTGAGCAATAAAGGAACAGCATTTTCAAAAAACATAAGGAGATAGAAATGTAAACAAAAGATTTTAAATCTAGCCAAACTGTCCTTCAAGTATTGAAAAACTCCGTTGAACAAGGGCATGGAGAATATTGTACCCACAAGATTCTCCCGAACAATCCACTTGAGATATTTACTGCATCCAACCAAGATGTAAATAAAAAATGGAAAAACATGGGAAAGGGAAAGAGAAAAGCAGTGCAAGCAACAGATGAGAGTTAAAGAATATTAAACTAAAGACCATATAGCAAGAGGATAAGTTAAAATGGAACTAGGGAGGTGGGCACTGGGACATTATAAAATTATAAATACAAAGATAAAAACTAGAACAAAAATATAAGCCTTCCTAAATCCCCAAAGACATAAAATAAATAAATAATAAAGTTGTAGCGATAAAAAGCATAGTAAATATAGCACAATACACTTAATGTTTTAATATAATGTAACACAGTTGAAACAAAGCATATCAAACTTACTAATACATATGAATGCACTTATTTATTAAAAAATTCAATTTGACTCACAAAGCAAGACCCAACCATATTTTGCATACAAAAGACATAAATAAAGACAAAATGGATCAGTTGCGATGGCTAACACCTGTAATCCCAGCATTTTGGGAGGCTGAGGAAGGAGGATGGCTTGAAGCCAGGAGTTCAAAACCAGCCTAGGTAACAAAGTAAGACATCATCTCTACCACCAAGGAAAAAACAAATTAGCTCGGCACAGTGGCAGGTACCTGTGGTCCCAGCTACTTGAGAGGCTAAAGAGGGAGGATGACTTGAACCCAGAAGCTCTAGTCTACAGTGAACTAGGATTATGGCACTGTACTCCAGCATGGGCAGCAGACCAAGATCCTATCTCTTTCTTTCTTTTTTTTTTTGAGATGGAGTTGTTGTCCAAGCTGGAGCAGAATGGCATGACCTCTGCTCACTACAACCTCTGCCTCCTAGGTTCAAGTGATTCTCCTGTCTCAGCCTCCCAAGTTGCTGGGATTACAGCAACATGTTACCACACCTGGCTAATTTTTTGTATTTTTAGTAAAGACAAAGTTTCACCATGTTGGCCAGGCTGGTCTCGAATTCCTGATCTTAGGTAATCTGCTCACCTCGGCCTCCCAAAGTGCTGGGATTACAGGCATGAGCCACTGCGCCCAGCCCACAAGACTCTATCTCTTAAAAAAATGAGACAAAATGATTCAGAAAGGATAAAAAATAAAAATATGGGCAAAAAGCATACCAACCAAACTGAAATA